CTGCAAATATGTGCTATTTTCACCATATTTATGCAAATCTATAAACATCAGGACATTGTGAATTGTGTTAACAAAATGCTTTACTTGCAACGTGAACTACAACAAATGGCTTCTGCTGCTCACATACGCACTGCACAAATTGAACCGAATTTGCTGTTGATGTTTCTTAATAAATTGTTGGTGCTCGGCTTCATCACAATGTGGACCTGCTTTATCATAACGCATGACAAAGCCTTCAAGAACGCCGAGTTCCTAATTAGCATAATATTTTTATACTATTGCGGTTTGGTAGTGCAAGCAACCGTAATTATGTTTGTTGCGGGCGTATTAATTATAACGCACTTCACAACGCATCTAAATATGCTTCTAGCTGAGTTTCTCAATGATGCATTACGATTAAGTGCTAATGGCGAGCCCGTAACTGCTTTGAAACTACAAAAATTTGGCTGGTTAACCTGTGAGTTGGAGCGATTAATGCGATTTTATACAGCCGTACTAAAACTGAGTCGTATTTTGACCCGCCTATACCACATACAGCTGTTGGTCTATTTTTCTTACTTGCTGATTGGCGCCATTATAGATGCGTTTATGCTTTATTTTGTTGCTTTTAGCAAATACTTCGCCCACAAGCGCAAAACTGATCGACTTTTAATAAACTGGTACGCGGTTGCAACCACCCTGAGTTCGATTTGGGACATGTCCATCGTTACATTCGCAGTGGAAAATATGAAAACAAATTTGGAAGAGACGCGTTCAGTTTTTGCGGATGGAAATTTGCTCTTACGTCAGCGGAACATCGATGAGTCCTTGCATAATGCTGTGAGTTATTTTAACAGTTTTTTATGTATTTCTTTATATTATTTCTGCTTATGTTGTATTTTGTGTCGGTACTCATGCTGTAACTGACATCGTAAATATATTACTTATTTACCACGTACGACAATTGCATGGAGCACACAAAGACGAAATGTATTTGTGCCAAAAGCAACCAACCAAACCATGCGTTCAAACAGAAAATTGCAGAGAAATATAATTGGAAATAAATCGATCTCCATAGCTGAGTTTCTGAGTTTCTGAATTTCTGAATTTCTGAATTTCTTATTTACGATTTTTTCTGCTCATTGCTATGATGACTTTATTATATTGTCTTGATGTATACACTTTCATATTTCAATATATTTTTCTTCTATTTTTTGTTTTATGACAACCATCCAACTTTGTTGGCAGCTTAACTACTTTGACATTTACTTGCAACAGGAGCAAATCTACTACAGCGTTTGTGGATTCTTCACTTTGGATAAGTACTTGCTCTTAATGATTATGGAAACACTTTTAAACTACACACTGATTCTCGTGCAGTTCGATAAAGTGATGTATTGAAATTATGTGCATATATATATTAACATAAACGTATATTAAAAATTTTAAATGAAAACTGCAAGTTTGATAAAACTTTAAAAAAAAAAACATTTCTACATATCAAAGACTCAATTATTCCATAGTTAAGTTATTCAGCCATTAAACTAAATAAAAACATATCAATTAAAATAAAATTAATTTCATGTGAAGAAGGCATAGCTACAGTCCATTTTTGATTATAATATCACACAATATTTACTCATCTACTTATTATTTTATGACAAAGTTATTATTATTGTGTTATATTGGACTAATTAATCAATTGAACAAATAAAAATTATTTTTTCACACTTTTATTAATTTAAATCAATATTTCGACTTTAATGTAATAGATGTCTGTAAACTAATTAAATACTTATATCAATGCAAGCCGTAATTTTTTCTTTCAGAGTTGGAAAAAATATATTCGCAACTTACGAAAGAAAACATGTGAAGCAACAACAATACTCTTAAAATCTTCAGAGTTATACTATGTTCAGACACATCTTAATTTGGCAAAAATCTTAATTTCGTTTTAGCGAAATTAAGTAATTTTTTCCACACAAAATTCAGTTTTAAGGTTAGAACGAAATTAAGGAAAATTGTCTTAATTTCGTTGAAACGAACGCTTAAATTAAGGAGAATTTTAAATGCTATGCGTAAGATAAATTTCAAGTAAAAGATAAAAATGAGATAAAGAAAAAGTCACATTTGTTTTAAATGAATGTCAATGATAGTTAATTTTAATAAAACCGTGGAAATATTTTCAAAGTAATGCAAATTTTTGAATTAAAATAGAGTAACAAATAATAATTCACATACTTAAAATCCACTGAAACTAATAAAACTACTGAATGCCATCCTTTATAGTTATAATAATCAACTCTTAAAATTTCGCAGATACAAATTGTGTTCAATTTTTAATTTAATAATTAGTAAATAATTTTTTAAGACTACAAGTACCAAGGTTTGAACTCATACTCTGCCAAATTTGAAGCACAGAGTCAGAGTTAATTATCCAACTGACTCATACTTGACTTGTATGGTCAAAACTTGGAATTTTTCTTAATTTGCCTCAAAAGTTCATTAACCAACTATAGAATAATTAATTATAATTATTTTTAATTGCTAAACTTCAATAGTTTCTATTGACTATAAAAGTCACTAACGTCACAACTGAAATTAATATCAAATTTAATATAAAAAATAGTATGAAATAAATTAAATTGTTTTCTGTTAATTTTAATTTGTAACAATAGTTAAACATAATTGACCACTTAGCCCAATACAACATAATAATTACTCATCTACTAATTCTGTATATTTATATATAAAATTTCGTTACGAAATATCTTCGAAAAAGTTCACTTCTGTATATTAAGGATTCAATATTTAAATCATTAAATTATATAGAAACAAAACAAAAATTATCAATTATTAATATTTTCAAATGAAAAGAATATAAATTAAGAACATTAAAGAATATTAATTACGTTAATTATATAAATTACGTCTCTACTATATCTGCTTAAAATGTTATTGATGTGTAAAACGTTATAGTAAAAACGTCCGAGAAGTTTACTTTTGCACTTTTAAGACTCAAACATATTTAATGTCATTAAACTTAGTGAGTCTTAAAGCTTTTATTGATATAAATTATCAAATTTTTTAAATGAAATCTCTATTTCTATAACTTATTAAGATTCATAAAACTGGCTACAAAATTTTTTGACAAAATTGCTTTAAATTTATAAATTATTAAATTTTAAAATTAATATAACCTTTTAATTCAAATATTATAAAATAGTAATAAATACAGAATAAATATCTAAAATGTGTTTTGTGTTTTTTAAAATTATATAGAATCTATTTTTACTCCTGTACCTGAACAAGCATAGAATAAGACACAACGGATATTAAAGTGTCTCTTCGTCTAACGAGGAATACATAATAAAAGCATATTGTATTAGATACTTTTAATCAAGTTTTGATCTATATAGCGACATTATTTTAGGTACTTTTAACTTTTAACTAATATTAGAAATACAATGTTGATGTCTTTACATCATTTATCATTTTTAAACTATTTTTTGTACATTAATATTTCGTATATAAATATCGCCAAGTTGATGCACCTTTATCTTTATGAATGAAGTGTATAAAACTGAACCTAAATCAATAAGGTCTAATAGGTCTAAGGTCAATACCTCAATATCAACAAATTTACCTCTCTTTAGTGAAGATATTATTCGTGAATTACTGTCATCAGGTGTCATCAGAATTTTTAACCTGATTAACTAATTATGATATACACAGACTGACATAACAAAGCAACTTTTTAGAACGCTTATATTTTGTATTTAAAAATAAATTTTATTTTTCCCATGAAATTAAAGGTAAAAAGCTCGAAACAAAATTTTAAAATTTATTTCGATTTTTCTATATAGCCGTCTCTTGCTTAAAACATTGCTTTGAATCGATTAGCAAATAAATTGGTCACCGCACGAACTTGTTTCATCTTCATCCATTGGTGAAAAAGTGTATTCTTCATTAGTTTAGTACTTTATGTTTCTCTCTGGTTAGCGTGATGCCTATTCTTTGATTACAATTGATTTTAAAATGCTGTGTCTCATCTATTATGACTCTTACAAAATCTTAATGAAATGTATTACCTCTCCTTTGTAAATGTATGGTTGCTCATTACTTCGTAATATCTTTCAAAACCATCAACGATTATCATCAAATCATTGACTTTTTAAGATATTTCAAATATTTAAATTTTCGAATGAACCTTGAATAAAAATATTGTCGTTCCCTACTAAATATAATTTATGATTGCTCATTGCATCTTAGCATGTTTCAAAAGTATTGAAGATTATCAAGAAATGATTAACTTCTTATAACAGTTGGAATATCCGAATTTTCAAAAGACTTCTTTGTTTAGTAAAAGTAAATGTTTTATTTATTAACCGTTTACTTAACCTTTATGTGCTCGGTAGTCTACATTTGTAGCATTTTGTGCGAAAAAGTCTTATAAAAACGAATTTTGCACAACGACAGGGTGCGAGATTTTTAGTAGTTTCCTAAAAATCAATTTTAAGTTAATTTTAGACTTAACAGCATCAAAACAATAATTTATTAACGCCCTAGACCCTACTTTTCAAAATGATCACCTCCTGGCCGGTAGTCTACATTTGTAGTCACCATATAATTTATATGAAAATTCATATTAAATATCTATGTAGCTCAATATTTTTTAGTTCCAACATGCAGAAACATGTTCCTTTGTAATTTATTTTATTCTCTGTTTACTTGTACATACTTCTGCTGCATATTTGTGCTTATATGCATGATTTTATGGTTTAGATCGCAACAGTAGGAGGATTAGGAAGCGCAGTTCATACTGCTGTAATCAATTTTCTGCTTATGCTCAATCTGATTACAATGTAATGCTTTCGATCCGCTTTCGATTGGTTAATTTGGTAATGAAATAGTTTATTTGAAACATAGAGCAGTAAAATAAAATGAGAATATTGGAAAATATGATTGAACGTGCTTCAACTCGGCCACTATGAGTTGTTAAACAGTAAGTGTGTTTGCAGGTTTTCCTTTTTTTGGAAGTGGCTTATGAAAAAAGAATGGCGACAATATATTGACAAATTACTGAGCGAGATTGATAAGGAGGAAGAGGAGCACTAGTTCTTAGCGATGAATGGTTTGATGATCATGTACCACTTGACCATCATACAAGTTCCAGCTCAAGCAATGTTTTTGTTGGTGCTGTAAGTGTTGCGATTGGTTTCTATTCTAAAGAATCTGACGCCGAGAATGAAATGATACTTGGTGAAGAAGGTGATTCAGAAATATGAGCAAGAATAAGGTATATTATTCGAAATAAATTTTGATTATGTGATGAATGTCAAAGAGAACTCGGTCGTTATGCAGCATCTTGATACATTTGTGTCAAGAGATAATACTGTCTGGTTCAAAACTATACCTAATCAAGTAGGTCGCACTACTGCTCACAATGTGTTTCATGACACTACTGTTGGTCCAATTCGAGCGACTAAAGGTCTAATTTTGTACACCGTATTCGATACTTGAATAAATTTTGAGAGGAACAAACTAAAAAGCCAGGAAAACTACGCGAAATATTTGCAGTTGGTGCATAAAAACCAGTGTGTGACGTACAAACAGTCACATATTCTTTGGGTGAATGTTGTTCCTCAAAAGCTACTTAAAATCTTTTTTACCCAAATTTTGTATAATAATTTTCATAATAAATATGTACAATTGTCTGTAAAAGTAAAATAATCTGTCTAAAAGTGTTTTTTTAATATGTTGGTCTAGATTTCTTCATAACATACTTGCTTGCTACAAATGTAGACTTCCGACCGGCAACGTAGGAAAAATATCCCGAGCACATAAAGGTTTATGATCACCCAAATCGTCACTAACACTTGTACTTTCCTGCTTCTAGCACTTTGAATATTCAAATTTTTGTATAACAACTATAATAAGTAGATTCGATCATTTTGTTTGTTTATGAATTACTTGATTTGAAAATTTTTCTCATCAGAGAATATAAGTGCTTGATATCAGTTAGATAGAATATCAAGTTAGATAGAACATGAACTCCTCCTCAGAGAATTGAATGATTACTTTGTAACATAATAACAGCTCCTTTGTTCTATCTAATTTTTGTTTGTTTTTAACAATAATAAAATCTTCTTCCTTTTAAGGTTATTAGGTCTATCTATCAGGTTATTGAGTTTTATAATAGCAGGTATTACTATAGGCACAACAAAACTTACTCCAACTCGAATAATAGCCCGTTGTGTGATACTAACGACTGTAATTCAACAGTTATTTTCCATATATCAGCTGAGTAGCTATACCATACTGAGTATCTTCCACTCCAGTACGGAATTCATTTAAATTAAGCTCTAACTTTTAGATTCATTTTTGCAGCAGTTGTGATATTTTGTCGGCCATCACCACAGCCTTTTGCAATATTGTCCAGTTTCATTATGATGTTATATGGGTTCGAGGTGTAAACTATTTTTTTCAATTGAAGACTGTAAAAGTTGTAACAGTAGCTTTTACACTAAATAAAATCAGCCATCATTTGTAGGGAAATACAATTTAAAAGTTATAGCAGCTTAAGTTTGGTTTGCAGTTCAATTGGACCACCCCATATAATAAATATATAGTTTTATTTGCTTATAATATTTCATCGTCAACTATATTCTAAGTGATTTATAAGCACAATGACGACTAATCAAATTACAGGCAGTAATAAATTTGATTGTTGGTTTATTCTGCAATCACTCCAAACAGCAAAAGTTACAACTGGATTACATATGCTTTAAGGTATTTAAATTAATTTTATTTTTTAACTCAATTTATTTTAACACCCTGAATCCTTTTGGTATAAAACATGCAAATATCTGCTATGCATGTAGAATAAATGGGTTCATGTTTTTTTTTTGTGTATTTGTTAGTTTTTTGTATATAGTGCGTATATGATTGTGTGCATTAATTTAATGTATTTTCGTTTTTATAAACCAATTTTACAACATGTCATGCATGTTTGCTTATAATAAAAACATAGCGAGTGGCGCAAAAATTCCATAATTATTAGCAATTTGAATGACTATATCATTGGCATGATTTTTCAAAACGAAACACAACTTCAATGCACTCAAAACAATGGCAATATGAGTGAGTCTACACAGTAAGAAGCCATGCAACAAGGAACACATATGTTAACATATCCAAATGATTAGGTGGAATGTAGTTCAGAGCAATCACTTGATATACTTCATGTTGCACGTACATGACTTGTTATTCCTATAGAAGAAGAACATAAAATAAAATATTTATATATACAGATACATATATGCAGAGATTTTTTATATAATAAAATAAGGTTAATGGTATGCATTGTCCTTTTCCTGTTGAAGGAATACAAAAACAATTACCAAGTAACCTCAACTAAATACATAGAAACCTAATCACTGAAAGAAATTGAAAACTTTCAATGACACACAACATACATAGTTGTATAGTTGTATAGTTGTACGATATGCAACCAGGCAGTCATTAACATTAATGTTACATGGAATTAAAATTTGAAGTCAGCTCAAGTCGTCACACTGTCGCAAAACTATTGCTAAGTATTGGTAAGTGTATATAATATTGAGAGCAAGGCATGTTCTATTTAAATGTAATGCATATTAAATATACTATATAGTATGTGTATGTGTATATGCTAAAAAATTACTTACACACTGATTGACAACAAAGAGTTGGCAATAAAATTGACTTTAGTACCAATGGCGATAGGCACAAGATAAATAGTTTCTGATTTCTTATGTAAACTATAATTTATTTGTACATACGTACTATATGTCCTTATAGTATAGAATGTTTCATTACTTCAATGTAGGTTAAACTCGTGTTCTTCGATAATAATTGTGCGCGTATATCAGTTTAATTGCTCATAAACATGCGAAATTTTATTAAAACTACAATAAAGCATTAAAATTTCATTAACCTTTGCCAAGTCAAATAATGGCAATGCAATTACAACAATAAAAGCAATAATTAGCTGGTACATAGTTCGTATCTGGGGTAGAAAAAAATCTACTCGCATATCATCACTGGCAAGAGATCCGAGCAATAATTTGCATTGAAATCAACTTAATTAGATTTCGCTGCCCGCAAGTGCAGCAAACAGCATTCAGCCACAAAATACACACACAAGCTGAGATGCTAAGTTGAATGCTATTTAAAAGCGCAACAAACAAGTGCGCCGTGAGGTATGCTACGTTTCTATGGCATTTGCCATACATGCAGCGTCAAAGATGAAAGAGTGCTCAAAATAGTAAATTTAAAATGACAGTTATTTTTAAATTAATGCAAACAAAATATTAAAACTAATTAAATGAAAATACTTGCTTAGCGAGGAAACTTTTAATTAAATTCAACTAATAAAAAAATACTAACATCAAAATAATATGCAATTTGAATACGACTATTTATAGTGTTTGAGGTTCTACGAAGAAATGACAATTTTTACTGAATTAACGATGTCTACTTTTTACTGAAGGTATGTCAAGAATGTGATGACAGGTATAATTGTATACATACAATGAAATTTTGGTAGTACTTCCGTTTTATATTAAGTACACTACATACTTACTTACTGAAAAGACCATAACAACTTATGATCGTATTTCGACTTACTGCTGCCAGTTAGTAGTACTAATAGCATTAATTGGTCATTTAATTCTTCCACTGAAGATGTTATCGTCAGAAGATCGAATCGAACACTTTTCCTTTATTAGTACGTCATGACCAAATCATCGAAACCACTGTATTTCCATACATTTAACTATAACTAAGTCGCTATATAGCTCATACAGCTCAACGCTTCATTAAATTCGGTACTCGTTCCCAACGCGTTGGGAACAAAAATGTTTCGTACCATTTTTCTCTCGAATTCTCGTAAAGTCTTTTTATTAGTATTGGTAATTTTTCAAGCTTCTGCACCATATAGCAGTTTAGGAATAATAAAAGACTTATAAAACGTGATTTTTGTTTGTCGAGAGAGAGCTTCATTACTCTTAACCTACTTAACCCGAAATAACATCAATTGATAAGAGTGAATCTTTGTTCAATCTTCAATGTGACAACATTTTTTGTGCTTGCACTGATTATATTTTCATTTTTTTCACGTTTCACAGTTATATACTTCTGCCAAACCACTGGGCAGTTGTTACCCATTGAATTAAAAGTTATTGCGAAAACAAGTTATTTCTCCATACGCATACATGACAATATATGAGGGTTCAGCAAAATACCATTTGTCGTTTCATAACTATAACAATATGTATCGAACGAATGGTTAACATATGGACACCTTTCTTTCCTTAGCGTGGAAGTAGGTTGAGCAGATTTTTACGAGTTGAACTTATCTTTTAATTTCACAATCTAATATACTTAGGAGACCTAGAGATAATAAGATGTTCCTACAGTTGCTACGTTATCTATTGCAATGTTTCCGTCACTCCAGACTGACACATATACAATAAATATCATAAAGAGTCACATACATAACAATATTCTCTGTAGAATGCCAGCTATGAAACTACAAAGCTTTAAGACTTTCTTTGTATGCTATATGTATGGTATCGATTACTAAAATCAAGAAATGTGGTACGAAAAGTAGTATTACTAAAATCTAGAAATATGGTACAAAAAGTAGTATTCTATCAAAAAAATTCGCTAATGGTTGTGAAAACAAATTACAAATTTAAGAAGAAAAAATCAATGTGACAACTAAGCATATCAGTCATGTTGTCTGTCAAGGAAATTCATTTGAATTATATTTCCATTTTCTAATGTTAATAATGACATTAGACAAAAACAAATAACATACAATTTTGCTTGTAATGACAAAACCCAAAAACTACAAACCAAATTTAATC